ATTCTTGTTTATACCTGAGTATGGATACCTACTCAACACCTGCTACTTGGTGAGTAACTATCTCAGTGGGAAGGATAGGAAGTAGGGTTGCTAAGGTCCAAATTGCTCAAGTGAATCACATTAAAACAAAGCAGGATCCACTGGAAATTATCTCTAAATTTACCGTTCTATTTCTTAAGGCCACCAAACTTGTCAATGGTCTCAGAGCCTTCGAGAATGGATACAGTAGCTAAACAGCACCTGAAAAGTGGGAACATAATGTTGTATAGCCTGATTTTGGTACTGCATAATTCATTTCTTCTTTTAATGGCCAGACCGTAGCTCCTCTTTGTCCCAGGCTAGCTGGCTGGGAAGTGAGGCAAAGTGACACAAAGTTTGAGAGAATGACTTCTTTAACCATTGTCAAGGCTCATTAAGTTGCAAGTAGCTTAGAAAATAGCTGGGATTTTTTTTCAGAATTAAGGACCAGTGTTGTTGACCTTGCTATTTCAGGAGAGCATGGAGATGAAGTGTCCTTCTGACAGACATGAAGTTGTTGGAGTGGTGATGGCAGCCAGAGAAGCAATCCTCATGACCTCTGTTGAATAGAGAAAACAGCTGGACAGCTGATATTTTCATCAGCTATATTTTTGCCCAGCTGCACAGATGGGCACTTAAATTATATAATAAATCACCAGCATTCCAATGTACCATCAAACCCATCAGTCATATTGCTTAAAGCCTTTAGAATTATAGGTCCTTGAGTATTTTAGTCACAATCAGGCCAGTATGTTTTAAAATATAGTATTTTACCTATTATAAAAAAGAGGAATCTATTAGACAAGGAGAGATAACAGTTGTATTTACGTCCATATTATATCACCGATTCTCTCTCTCCCCTGTAGATCTTTCTTGGCTTCTTGGGAAACAGGCTTCCTCATCTATGAATGAGAACTGTTGCTGTCTAGCCCTAGTGTCTCTTCTAGGGTGAAACTGAAATTGAGATTTGTGAAATATAAAAATAGTAGTACTTTTATTCCTTACAGATTTTGAAGAGTTTAATTTCATCAGTATTCAAGTGGTTTTGTATCATTTGTGATGACTCAATAGCAACATGTCTACAAATTATTCAAGCCCTTTCCATGACTCATGCCATGTATTATGGAAAAGTAAATTTTTTCCTCTCTCCTGAAAAAAAGGACCTGTTTTTCTTAGGAGAAAGGTTAGACATTTGGAAACTTTCAAGAAAGAGATTTTGCTAATAATATAAATGGTTATTAACATTTTTAAAGTGAATTAAAAGCTTGTCAGTAAGGTACAACTAAGATCCTAAAAACCAAAGACTTCTATCTGGTGGAACATGAGCACCAAGGATTATAAGGATTTTACAATGACTCTTCCAGAAATGAGAGGTGCATGTGCTCAGATGAAGAAAGGCTGGTCTCTGGTTTATGTAGGTTTGGAATCAGTTTGACATGAGTATATCTAGAGAGCCAATTGACATTGGGAGTGACTCTAACCCTTTTGAAGCCTTCTCTACTCACCTAGCCAACTTCCCTCTCCTATCTTCTGGCCAATTTACCAAGAATACCAGGGATAAACTTACTTAGTATAGAGGATACATTGATGGGCCAGGCCTTTCCTGTTCCCAGTGCTTGGTATAAAGAGCTCTGGAATGACTGATCAGCTCAGGATTACCACTGCTTCTGTCTGGTGCCTTGTGTCACTGTGAAGACTGTGCCCAAAGTCCAACAGATGCCTATTTACTCTCTATGATGTTTCTTGCTGGTCTGAATGACTCTCAGCCTCACAATGGGTATCTGAACTTGGGCTTTGAACTTTTAGCTCTCTTAGTTTGGACTCAGTTATTCTGCCATTGTTCATCACAACAAAACCTTCTTGTGTCACTTCACTGTCATCATGGCTAGTTTTAGTCACACACTGTGGAGACCATGCTACAAGTGCAGCCTGGGATACCACCCTCTACTTGTCCTTTCCTCAAGGTTATTTCAGGGCCCCCCTTGACAGTTTCAGCTCCTGAGCTTTAGGCAAAACCACCCTGTCCACCCTTCTAAGACTACTTAACTTTGAATCCCAAGAAGCCGAGGTCAGTGAGTGGGGCCCTTTACCTCAGAAGGCCTAAGCTCCTTTTGCAAAATGATCCATCACCTTCCAAAGACAAGTTATCTTTATAAACTAGTGAGGTAGATAGTATTAAAACAGATTTTTAAAGTTATTGTTACACCCTCCTTTTAAAATCATGGATACTTAGTTATTTGCATAACTAATTTCCTTTTAAATAGTTCTTCTCTGAACTAGAAAATTGCAGGTAATTTGTAATCTATACATCTAGACATAAGAGTGAGTGATGTAATTGTTAAGTACTTCATTTCTCCCACCTAAGGGCACCTCATTTATGCTCAATCATAATAGATATCTTAAATATGCAAATATTATCCCAGTAAATGGCACAGTCTTCACCACATTGCTTAAGCTAAAAACATCTTGATTTTCTTACTTCAACATCCAAATCCAAGTACTGTTGACCAAATAGGATATACCACCAAAATATATTTAAATATAAACATCAGTTATCTCAATATATCATCAAATTACACTAAAATATATCTCCAATTTCTCTATCTCAATAGCTACCCCCTAGTGTAAACTACGTCTTCTCTCACTTGGACAACAGGAATGGCTTTCTCCCTGGTTGCCTGATGCCATTCTTGCCATGCTCCAATAGGCTTGTCATCACAGCAAGAGATAAAAATATAAATCCGATCACGTCACCTCCCAACTTAAAATCCATCAAAGGGTTCTCTTAGTTTTTATTTCTCGAAAACGAAAAGCACTTTCCCAACTCTGACTGGGCCTTTGCACTTGTTCCCTAGACGTGGCATAGTTCTCGCTCTCCAGTTCTTCACACCAATGGCCCAATCTCATCCTATGTGATAATGGATCTCATATTGCTGTCTCAGAAAGGTCTTCTCTCACCTCACTCCTTAGGTTGCCACCTGCAGCCATTCTCCTTTATTTCCTTCCTGGAATTATCATTTTAGTTTGGTTTCAAGAATGAGTAAAGCAACATGTTGTTCAGTTTGCAATATTTACTTGGCTATTGTAGTCATGCATTTTTATAAAACAAAAGTCATCTCCATGCTCTGTATAGCTTTAAAACCTGCTTTTTATAATATTAGACCATAAGCATTTATTAGATTATTAAATATTCATCTAGAACATGATTTTTAATACTTCATCTTATTAATGTGTCATGACTTGGGTAACCAGATTCTGCTGTTAGAAATTTAGGCTATTCCTAGATTTTTGCAAAATAACTGGAGAAGATCTAGGTAATTATTAAAGCCTTCAAAATATGGAGATGGGCTCCGGAAATTAAGATTATAGTTTAAAAAAGAAAAGAGAGATCATTGAAAGGGCAGACAAAAATGAATTTACCAAATTAGAAAGAACTAGAATTTGGGTTGCCCTTGGAGATCAAAAAACCTAAATTGAGGACAAATAAATGAAGTGCGATGCTAAAGCAGTACTGAGCTCATTACAGAAGTTTCTCACTTAAGCAACATGGTGGATAGTGATAGAAGAGCAGGTTGGGTGGTGAAGGCAATTGGTTGGGTTTTGGAAATGGTGAATTTGAGGTATTTGTGGAATGTCCAAGGGGAGCTATCTAGCAAGCAGTTGAATTTAATGGTGTGTGACTTAGGAGGAAGTTCTGGTTTAGAGTAAAAATTGGGGAGACATCAGTGTATGTTGCATGGTAATTGAGAAAAATGGAACTGGATGCAACAATCCAGGGAGAGTATGTGGAATGAAATGAGAAGAGGGCCCAAGATAAAACGGTGAAGAACATAAACATTTGCAAAATGGACAGAGGAAGATGGGCATTTAAAGGAGGTGGAAAACAAGAGGCCAGAGAGCTAGGAGCAAAGCCAGGACAGAATGTCTTGTGAGATTCTCCAGCACTGATTAGCCTAACCCTGCTTGACTGGTTATGTGACTGGTGACTTTTCCTTCTCCCCACACTTTGTTTATATCTCCCCAGTCTCTGCTCAGACAGAGAATAACTTTTTCAGACAGAACATATTCTTTCTAAAAAATTATTGATTAATTTCAGAAAGATACATATATATATTTTTGTTGTTCCATTTATTTATGCTTCTTGTATGTGCCCTGACTGGAGATTGAACTTGCAACTTTGGTGTATTGGGATGACGCTTTAACCAACTGAGCTACCCTGCCAGGGTCGTATTATTCGTTAATGGAAGATATACATGTTGTTGGATTCCCCAGGCAGAATGCCAGTAAATTCTTTGAGTTCATTCAATGAGTAGGTGAAGATCTCTAGGGTGTGATTTGAAACTTTCAGAGAAAGCTGCTTCTGTGTCCTAAATTTTATCTCTGGCTGACCTGTAGCAATGTCTGACATAGTGGGCACTCAGTAAACCCTTGTGAGAAAATGGATCCATGAATATTGAATGACTAAGTATCCTATTAAAATGCAAATAAATTGTCAACCCTTATTTAACAAGTTGGGACTTTTTATCAAAACTCTTTCCATTGTGATCAGTGTCTGTGCAATTGACTCACAGGGCCAGTTATGGTGGTAGCTTTGTAGGCCTAGGGAGGAGGCTTACCTGGGGAAGAGTATATCTGAGCACATTAGTTCAGTTTTACAACTATCTATACAAACCATCTGTTTTTGTTTCCTAAGCTGCCATAACAAATTACCACAAACCAGGTGGCTTAGAATAACAGAAATTTATTGTCTCTCAGTTCTGGAGGCTAGAAGTCTAAAATCAGGATGTCAGCAGGCCCATACTCTCACTGAAAGCTCTAGTAGAGAATCTTTCTTTGCCTCGTTCTTGCTTCTGGTGGTTGCCAGGAATCTTTAGTGTTCCTTGTCTTGTATATCCAGTCTCTACACCCATCTTCATGTGGCATTCTTCTTTCTGTGTCTCTGTGTGTTTCTGTTTTCTCTTCTTATAAGGACACCAGTCATTGGATTAGGGCATACCATAATCCAGTATCCTAAACCATTTTGGGGGAATAAAAGATATTTTGTTAAAGGGGCCTTGGAACTGTACTATAAAAAAGTGAAAACAGGTTATTAATACTGCAGGACTTTTTCAAATACTTTTATGCACTAACAAGACTTTATGAATCTTTAAGAGGGTTTCCCAAATGTAATTGAGCAAAGAAAACTTTGTTTGAGAATTGTGTTAGTTATCTATTGTTGAATAACAAATTACTTAAACTTTATGGACTTAAAGCAACAAGTATTTAGTATCTTATATAGTTTATGAGAATCAGGACTCAGGAAATGGCTTAGCTATGCGGTTCTGGGTTGGTATCTCCCCTCAAATTTTAGTAAAGATGTTGGCTGAGGTTGCAGTCATATGAAGGCTTGATTGGGCCTGAAAGATCTGTTTTCAAGGTGGATCACTCACATGGCTGTTGGAGGAGGCCTCAATTCCTCACCATGTGGCCTTTCCATAGGGCAGCTTGAATGCCCTCACAACATGGCAGCCTGCTTCCCCCAGAGTGAATGATCTATGAGAGAGCGAGGAGAAAGCTGTAATGTCTTTTATGACCTAGTCTCAGAAGTCACCCTCTATGACATCTACCAATGAGTCACTAAATCCACCCCCACACTCAAGAGAAGAGGAATTAGGTACACTCTCCTTACGCTCCAATTTGACAAGGGAGCAATGTCAAAGAATTTGTGGGAATTAAAAAAACAACACTTTATGGACCATATTGAGGGCTCAGAATTCTTCATAACACACTTTAGAAAACACTAGTTATAATGTTGAAAGAACTCAGGGTCAGAAGTTATAAAAGGTGGGTCTGAGGTCCACCTCATATATTAATTGCATCAACTTGAGTTTGTCTCTTAACTTTTTGAGCTGGAATTTTTACAAAAGTAAAATGAAGATGATAGCACCATCTATCTTTGTGATATCTTAAGTTTGTTGTGAAGATAAAATGAACCAATGTACATAAAAATGCTTAAATAATCATAATATACTACACATATGTTCACTCTTACTAAAATCACCAGTCGGCATATGACCTGTCAAATGACTGAACACTAGATGTCTGACTTCATATTCAAAAAGTCCTTTCTGTCTTCCAGGAGAATGTCACAAGCACAGATGTGCTTAAAAATGCTTTTGATAAGCTTTATTACAACTCCATGGGCATTTAAACCAGCCATTTGTCTTCTTATGCAATTGCTTCTTTGCTAGACATATAAAACTTTGTCTTTGCAGGGTACTGAGTTACCTGCCAAATAAGTTGTTGTTGTTGGTTTTAAAGACCTTTGTGTATTTCCACAATTTCCCAAGCCATAAGGAGGCTGTTTTTCTCCTATGTCTCAGAAGTTAGCTCCAAAATATTTCCTAAAGAGGAGTCCAGAAAATGTTTTAAGCAATGGCAGCCTCATCAAAATAAGTAGAGTCTCCCGTGGTTACCACATGGCAGGACAAAGCAGGTTTGGATGAATGAGTCTTGATGGGATATGCTTGTCCAAGATTAGTCTCCTTGCTTTAAAGTCGTATCTCATTACCAAATGAACCACACAGACTAGACATAAAGAAAATGTTGCTGCCAGACAACTGCAGTTTTTAAATCCAAAGAGCTTAGAACGCTTATAGGCATAATCTTGTTAATCATCATAATACTGTGAGGTAAGTTAAAATACCATCACTCTAGAGGAAAGTGTGGCCAAACTTCAGTTTATTTTGAGTCTCTCTGTTTTTCTGATACCTTGCTCTGTGCAACTATTATTTGAATATTGAATACAGTTTAGTCCTAGTACATAAAAACAAAACAAAACATGGATACTATGGCTGAATTAGGATCAGGGTTCTTAACCTGGAAAGAGCTATTGGTCAATACATTAATTAAGGCATCAAGTTTACACCCTGTTGTCAACTCTAATTGTTTATTGCCTAACTAAACCCTCCTAAATTTATTATAGTCATTAGTGTCTATTAGCAAGGGAGAATGTGCTTAAATTTTACAAGGGTCTGTGGTTAACAGTTTTCTGTCTCTGAGCTGGGACCTGCCTCACTTGATCTTCTCACCTCACACTTAACACAGGACCCGGCCTTACTTAACAAATGATTAGCCTTCACTGTAGAATTATTAACAGTCACAGGTTCTTCTATTCTGTGTCTTAGCTCTCAACGCTATAACATGAGAGTGTAGGATTAGATGATCTCTAAGTTATCTTGTATATCTAAAATTCTCAGTTAATGATTATCAGCTTTGATACAGAGACTAAGGCAACAATGACAGAAATAAATACCCCCAAATTAGAGCATTTGAGATTATCTGAGTTATTTGCCTGTTTTCATAATTACCTAAGATCAGTTTGAGGGTCAATAACTTAACTCAGGAAAGTGAAAGTCCTCTGGCCATCTCAGTATTAGGTTTCAGAAAGGGAGAGGAAGGGTCAGAAAGGCCCTGGAAGGGGTGTATGAGAGTGACAGGGAGCAGGGGGGGTGGGGAAGGGAAAGAACTTTTGCGTTTTGATTCAGCAACATATGTTTGGAGCAGCAGGAAGTAGCCAGGAAGGAGGACATCACTGAGGAAATAGGCTGGCTAAGAAGAACTGCTAAACATGTAGGTGCAGATCCAAGCTTTGTAGGACCTAAAGCTTTTTTGGTAATAAAGGCCGTTTTTAAGAAAAAAAATTCAAAATTAGGTATGAAAATGCATATTTATTCAGAAGTGAATCCAGTTGGAAGTGAATATTTATTTGAAAGCTCATATCCTCTACAACACCATCCAAAACAGGGAAAGGGCCATGGAAGAAATTTGGAAAAAGACTGGTCTTAACCAATCACTTTTGAAATATCTTACCCTTGCCAATGTTACAAAAACCTATGGCCACGTGAACATGTTGCTAACCTTGTGGTAGGGGTCTGTGAAAGCGAGGAACCCAGAAACCTAAGCTTCCTTAGTTTCATATTCTGCCACCACTGAAAGTATGAAACATGTCTAGAATATTCCAGTAGATAGTTCAATTGGAAGTTCATTTAACTAAAAAAAAAAAAAAAAAGCTATCATAAAAATGAGGAAGATCCATGCAAACAATCATGAAAATTTCAGACTATATTGTTATGTGAAAAAATAAGGAATGAGATAATATTGCATGATTTCATTTATGTAAAAAACACACACAAATAAGCCAACACTGAAGAAGTGTGTGTGTGTGTGTGTGTGTGTGCTCGTGTGTATGATATACATTTGATGCACATCAAATTCTTAACAGTGGTTACATTTGGAGAGTGTGTGTGGTTGTGGGGTATTACTTGAATTTTGCATAACAAATACTCATATGTTACATGTAGGCCTCCTCGTTAATAATAACTGCATATCCCTCCATAATCTTTACTTCAAGCTTCCCATTCTCAACCCATCATTGGCCACCTTTCAATTTACTTCCTCTAGAATATAAATACCTTCAGCTATTTTGACCACCAGGATCTACAATCCAGCCTCCTGTCATTTCAGTGTCCTCAGTCCCTTCACATCCCCACTTCCATTCTTACCCAGCTTACATTCCATGGTGTGCTGTTCTGATCGCTCTTTTGCATATGCCTTAACTGCCTGCTGCCTCTCACCTTGTCATATTACTTAGTAAACCATCCCTGCCGGAATCCAGCTCTCCTCCTGCTTATAACTGAAGGCGGCTGGAGAAAAACCACACAGCTCATACTACCTGGTCTCATTTTAAATTCCTCACCTAACCCCAGGGGAGCTTTGAGTGCTGCCCTGCAATCCTACTACGTTTCCCTAGTCCCACATTCCTTGGTGGCTGTTTCACACTTCCCTCTCTCTTCAAACCTTCATACCTCCTACACCATCCTAACCCTTAGCTTATACCTATGACTATTTCATTGAGAAAAAGAAACAATCAGGGAAAAGAAATCCAATATACCCATCCTGCACAAAATCCCTACACTGTATCTACCCACTACCTGTAGCCCTGTTCTGGGCTTCTCTTCTGGTCCTGAGGATGGACAACCAGGGCTTCCACCTCAGACCCTCTGCTGTGCACTAACCTTGTCCCTTCCTCACCTGCATAACAATATCCAGGCCATGGGTCTATAGGCATGGCAGGCGCAGCGCCTAGGGCCCTCCTTACTTTTAGGGGCCCAGGAAAATGTTTAATTCCCTTTAAAATCAGAAGAAAAATATGAACTTTTAAGTCAAAGAAAATGTTTTAATATATAATGTTAATATTTTAATTCTTATACCACACAGCAGTTTTATATATTATATATATAAATTTTTAGATTACATATAAATTTTTACATTATATATAATATAAATTTTAACTATATATATAAATTTTACTATATCTATACATATACATATATATATACACATATATATAGTACAAAGTGCCCATGAAGGGGCTAATGAAGACAGATGTACCTAGGGCGCCAAGTCAGTCATAATTCAGTGCTGACAACACTGCTGCTATTTTTCATCTATAGCATGTTTCGCCTTTCTTTTAGGTCATCCCCATTAGCAAACATACTGCGATTTTCCCCGTCTTCCCTGTCTTAGTCTTTTGGGGCTGCTATAACAAAAGTTCCATCGACTGAGTGGCTTCTAATCAACCAGTGTTTGTCTCTCACAGTTTTGGAGGCTGGAAGTTCAGGACCAGGTCCCCAGCAGATTCGGTGCCTGATAAGCAGGCTTCCTCGCTGACAGTGTGCTCTCATGATAACCTCACACGGTGGAAGGGGCAAGGGAGCTCCCATTCTTGCTCTCTGGGGTCTTATGTATAAGGGCACTCATCTTATTCATGAGGGCTCCACCCTGGTGACTGAATCACCCACCAAAGGCCCCCACCTCAGTGAAGATTAGGCTTCAACATATAAATTTGGGGGGGATCAGATATTCAGTCCATAGCATACCCTAAACCCTGCCCTGACTCACCTTCCCTTCTAACCACCTACTCTCCATTTATCTTTTGCCCCCATTTTTTTTTTTTAACAACAAAACTTAAGAGATTTTCTCTGTTTACTCTTATCAGCCACTCTTCCCCCATTCTCCTTAGACATCTGGTTTTCCTGCCTGCTGCACCATTGAAACTACTTTCCTGACAAGGTCCCAGTGGCCCCCTTGACACTAAATCCAGTCACCAATTCTCAGTCCTCTCGTACTTAGCAGCAGCATTTTAAATAGTTGATCATTCCTTCTACTTAAACTACTTTCTTCGCTTGACTTTTTTTTTTGGTAGGGAGATCACATAATTTATCATCAGAATAAAGACAATTTTTTAGAGTGAAAGATGGGCACTACTACTAATTACACTGACACAGACACCAACTTGGACTGTCCCAGGTAAACTGGCCCATACGGTTCCCCTGATCTTTTAGGGCGCCACACCTTCCTGGTGCTTCTCCTCTCACTGGCTCCTCCTCAGCCTCCTGTGCTCCCTCCTCTCCTTCCTGACCTTAAGTATTGGGCTGCCTGGGGCCTCCTTGGGCCTCCTGTTGTTCTTTCCCTTCCTTTTCTACCCCTTCAGGGCTGCGCTCCAACTCCTGCACACTAATACACGATCCTGCTTGATGAAATGTTGAAACACCTCCATTCAAGCTAGTAAAGAGCTGCTCTCACACTCTCCAGGGCCCTCTCCCACCCGCCATTCCCGCCCCACTCTGGGACCCTCACACCTACCTCGTTTCTAAAACATTAACATCTGACCCTTTAGAACTGTGCTCCAGCACCTTCTGATTGGTTAGTAACATGGCCACACCGGTTGTTAAATATTTTGAATATCACCCTTGTACTCATTTATAGGGCTTTAGATGAATGCCTAAATTTATATGTCCAGCTCAAACCAAAACATTTCCCCTGAACCCCAAGACTCGTATATCCAATTGCCTATCCAATATCTCTACTTGAACACATAAGTGGTATTTTGAACTTAAAATATCTCAGTTTCTCCCTCCAAACCTGCCCGTCATACAGTCTCCTCCAATTCAGGTATTGGCAACCATATCCTTTCAGTTGCTCAGGCCCTAAGTCTTGGGTTTTTTTTAAAATGCCTCTCTTTGATAGCCCACATCCAAGCCATCAGCAAATACTGTTAGCTTTACCTTCACAACAGACGTGCCATTTTCACTACCTTCACCACTGGAACTTTCCACCATCGTCTCCGACCTTGACCACGGCAGGAGCTCCTCTCTCTCTGCTGCCTCCTTCTCCCCTTCTAGTTATTTCAACTCTGCAGAAAGAGTGCTCCTTATGAAACAAGACAGCTCATGTCATGTCTCTGCTCAGAACCCTCCTAGATCACTCAGAATAAAGGCCAAGCCATCACAATGGCCTCAAGGTCCTACGCATCTGCTCCACACCACCCACTCCTTCCTCTGGCCCCACCTCCTGCTCCTGTCTCCACCCGGCATCCACTCCAGCCACACTCACCTCGCCGCAAATCCCGCAGGCACGCTCTTGCTTCAGAGCCTCGGCGCTCGCTCTCTCTCCCCACTTGGCCCTCTCTTTCCCCATGCTGCAGGCACCTGGCTCTTTACCTCCTTCAAGTTATTAATTAAAGGTCACCTTCTCGGTGAATCTCTCCTTTAACAAATGATAGCACCCACCCCGTTGCCCTTCCCTGTTTTATTTTTGTCCACAGCACTTACAACCACCTGATGACACATTATAGGTTTTACTTCTATGTTATTTGTCATTTTTGTTCCTTGCTGTCTTAGTCTGCTCGGGCTGCCATAACAAAGCACTATAGATGGGGTGGCTTAGACAACATAAATTTATTTCTCATAGTTCTGGAGGCTGGAAGTATGAGGTCAAGGTGCTGCAAGTTAGATTCATTCTGAGGCTCTTCTCCTGGCTTGTAGGTGGTTGTCATCTCACTGTGTACTCATGTGACTTTTTTTGTATAGGTGCTTGTGGGGGGGGGAGAGAGAGAGGGAGTGAGCAAGCATGCTCTCAGGTAAAGGCACTAAACTCATGAGGGCCCTCCTTNGGAGCGAGCAAGCATGCTCTCAGGTAAAGGCACTAAACTCATGAGGGCCCTCCTTATTACCTCATCTAACCCTAATTACTTTTCAAAAGCCCCCTCTTCAAATACTATCACATTGGGGGGTAGGGCTTCAACATGAATTTGGGGGGAACACAATCCAGTCCATAACACTTGCTATAACTGCAAGGCCTAAAAGAGTGCCTGGTAAGTAGTGGTTACTCAGAAACTGTTAAATGAATTCATAATTGGAAAAAATGTCAAATATTATTTACTAATTTTTAACTTCTCAAAAAGTTTTGTCACTATTAAATTTCACTGATAATTAATGTTATAGAGAAAGTCTCCCAAAACAGAGCAGCCGGTTATTCATAACCCCGTTCTAGAACTTTTATATAGAGTTAGTAAAATATAAATTTTGTGTATTATTTGGAAGCTTATATACTAATACATACATTGTGTGGATTTACAACTTGTAGTGTCCATTGGTGGATGAATGGATAAAGAAACTGTGGTATATATATTTCATCAATGGAAGAATTAAGAAATTGCATACATACATACGTACATATATACATATACACACACACACACATGTGGAATATTATTCAGTCATGAAAAAATGAAATCTTGCCATTTGCACAACATGGATGGACCTTGAGGGCATTATGCTAAGTGAAGCAAGTCAGACAGAGATAGACAAAGTACTGTGCCCATATGATCTCTCTTACGAGTGGAATCTAAACAAACAAGCAAAAGTAAACAAGCTCCTAAATACAGAGAGCAGACTGGTGGTTATGAAAGGTGAGGAGTGAGGGGTGGGAGAAATGGATGAACTTTCTTTTAGTTTAAGTATATTGAATAAATTTTTTTAAATGCAATTTTTCAAAAGAAAGAAAAGGGAACAAGGCCAAAAAGGAAGAAAATTTAGCAGTAATGATTTTCTTTTAAGTAAAAAGAAAAAAGTAAGAAAGTGTGCACTTGAGAAGAAAGTGGAAAGTGAGTTTGATGTGGATTAAGATCGTTGCAGCATAGTGAGTGGGAATCAAACAATGCCAGTTAGAAGTATGACACGGCCTTTCAAAAGAGCCTTTCCGCCCAGCCGGGCGTGGCTCAGCGGTTGAGCGTCAACCGGGGATCCAGGCGATCAGGGTTCGATTCCCAGTCAGGGCACATGCCCGGGTTGCGGGCTCGATCAATGACTCTCTCACATTGATGTTTCTGTCTCTCTCTCTCTCCCTCTCCTTTCCTTTCTCTGAAATCAATAAAGATATATTTAAAAACAAAACAAAAAAACTCCGCAAAAACCAAAAACAAAAGAGCCTTCCCTTGCAGATGTTACAGCTTATGTACAGTCTACTCTGAATGGCAAGGCAACAGAAGGACTAGAGAGAAGAAAGCAGAAAATAACTGAGAATTAAAGAGAAAGAAGTCACAATAGAACACTTATTATCAAGGTCAATTATTATTCAATTCAATTACTTGATTTACTTTTAAAAATAGCCTTAAAAACCATCTTTTTATGTGTTCTTTCTGCGTATTCTCTTTGGAGCTTTGTATTGGTCAATATTCTGACGCAGAGAACAGATTTCACTCCGGACATTAGAATGAAAGAATTTATTACAGCACGTCAGGTGGCTTACAGAATTATTAAGGTGGTTGAATAAAAATCTGTAGGATGAGTTCCCAGAACCTATTCTCAGGTCTTTATTGCTGAACCAGGCGGCCAGAGGATATGCCCGCCTGCCATGATCAGGAAGCTGCTTCTCAAATCCAGAGGCCTTCCTTACTGTGTGTATAAATACAGGACCGTCTCAGTTTAAGCTGCTAAGTTAGCTACAGTTGCTGGTTCCAGAACAACCTTACTGTGCTCCAATCAGAAAACCTCGTGTGAGAAATCAAGAAGCTGCCATTACAGCTTCAGGGTCCCATCACGCCACCTTTTCTACTATCTAGACGCTCTTTCTGCTCACTCAGCAAACCTCAGGGACAGAGTTTGGCTCTAGAACCGTGCCACGTTTGCTCTAATCCCCGCTGATAAAATACATACCCAATCTCCCATTTTTCTCAGTTCAGATTTCAAGTCTCCTGTGATCTCATCTGATGTGAAACCTGAATCAAACTTGAATCACCAGCTGAAAAGGAACTGGAGAAATTTTTGTTTTAGCTTTCTGCTCGCCACAGGAAAGGGAAGTACACTAGAAGAAAATTGGAATAGATATTCTGAGCCTAACCTCCATAACTGCATCAGACTGCACTCTTACTTCTCCATGTTCATCTTTGGAAATTTCAAACTTTTTTCTTTGTTATACAGAGAATTATATATTTGGCTCATCTTTGAGCATATAGTCCCAAAGTCGAGAATATTTCTACTGTAAACAAGTACTTAATAAATATGTATTCAGTTTTTTTAAAGGACATATTGTACAGATTTACAACCCAGAGTCCAGAGAGAAGTCCAAAGCAGAAAGTTAAAAATGAACTGTAGCCATGGAGATGCTCTTAGGGTTTTCCTCATCATCATTTTCGTTTCTTGTGATATTTAGATTGATGCTCCTCATGAAATCCACTAATTGACACTATCATGAAACCCCTTCTTTTGTTATTTACACTGTTGTGTAGACATGGACATATTTTTTATTCTGGCAACTTAAGAACAGTGTAATTTACCAAGTTAATCAGGGTTATAATCATAAAATACAATCATAAAACTGAAGAGGCATAATAATTCTAGAGGGTGTTTTCCAGTGCTATTGAACATTAGCCTCTGAGGAGTCTCTTTAACATGCCCACACATACAGATATTCACATTCTAAACCCCTGGACACTTTTGCAACCCTGTAACAGAACATTACTCACTTCTCGGCCTTTCCAAGAAAACCTCCAGAGAACATTACTTCTTATTTACAAAGAGATGGGAGTTGCCAATCACTGCCCTCCCCACTGCAGAGAGATCCAGGATCATCTCAAACCTAGTCTCTTTACCTGTTAGAAAGGAGCTCAATTCAGTAAGTCACTCGGGATGGTTAAACCTTGTAGGATTTGGAAGACATAAGAAACTTAATTATACATACAATTCTTATATAACTTACTTAAGGCAGTGATGCTCAAATTTCCCCTTTCCTTACACAAAATAAACAAAAAAATTTTGAGTTAGTCATTTATTTTCTATTTTTATTTTGCAATATTGTTTTCTCTGTTTTCTGTACTTAGGAAGTAGGAGGAAAGGGGAGCATGGTAATGCAATTATTATGAAAATGATATACAATATAATCATTAATTATTAATTACTACTAGAGAAAAGGAGAAGTGGGAAATGAAGCAAACATGTCTTATTTAAGAAAACTTAACTGGAAGGAATAGGTGTTGTTTTGAGTTATGATGCCGCTTGCTGCTTAATACTTATACAGTTATTTTTATTAATGTGTTTCCTCTCCTTCCAGTTTGAAAAGCACTAGTTTAGCATTATGAATTCATAGCATCTTTTTGCTTAGGAAAAAAATGGTTTCATAATCAAATGTGAGGATCTACAACAGAAAAGAACTTTTTTGTTCCTCATTTTTTTTCATCTGCCTTGCATATAAACTCACAAATTATAATTAAATGGCTACAGAATTTATAAAGGTTTTGTTCAAAGCTATCAGCATAGCTGCTTATAGTGAATCCAGTGAACTCTAGTAACATACATTATGTGTAATGACAAGAGAAGTCAGTGATACTGCTTGCCTGTGCATTGATGCTTTCTTCACTAGGTTAGGAGTCAGAGTAGAAATTGTTTGGTAGCTACACACGGTAGAATCAGAACCCATTTTACTGATCAAATACAAAACAAAACAAAATATTTGAGAATGTGGTTTCTTGGGATCTAATTCAGAGAATTAATGCTATTCTGTGAGTGATTTCAAGAATCAATTTGGATATTTCTTTAATTCATTTCAAGTATTTTTAAGTGCAAATCGTATGGCCTACATCAGAAACAGATTTGAGCTGCTGCAGTTCAAAGTGCAATGTCCGTTTCCAGCACAGTATTTGATTCTCACAGTCCCTCTCTATGGTAGACAGGCCAGTTGAGATGTACCTGTTTCCCTGAGGAGTTAACCTGAAAGAGGAAAGAAGCTAAGCAGGGCAGAACTCACAGAGCTGATAAATGGGGGAGTCTGGATTTGAATCCAAATCACTTGGCTCCAAATACTTGCAATATATTGTGTTGCCTCTCCTCCTTTAAGCTAATATGATTGTAATGGTGATACTGCTGAGGTAATTCAAACAAAGATAGTTTATCAGCTGGCCTAAATTACTCAGATATCTGGCTGGATATTTTTGGTTGCTTTACAAATTGAGACATGACCTGAGTGTCACTGAAGAAGAAAATATAAAAACTACAGTCCTAAAAATGCCCCTTATTAGGGGGCGCTGACACTTGCCCCCATTTCTTAAATCTGTAATCTAAAAAATGTTGCTTGAGCCAAGAATTCCCAAAATGTTTTTTGGGTTTTTTTTTTTTTTTTTTCTGTTGTTAGAGAATATAATCACTCTTTGGAAATATAGACTTCATTAATTCTTTATATCTTGCTATATTTCTCATATTTTCCTCAGGACTAAAGAATCTAAAGTTCCCTAGTGATGCACAAGGTGTACTTTAATGATGTTAGAAGTATATTCAATTCTACCTACTATATCCCAGGCTTTCTCCCTCATTAGTTATCTGAGGTGAGTATATGAACATTACTGATATACCTAAAGAGAAAAAGCATATTAGTCATGGTATTATTAAATGCTAAGTGAATCTTCCAGAGGTGCAGATCACTTATCACCTGAGATCAGTATATTAATGTGAGGCCATTTTTCAGGAATGGGGACTATGGGTATGTATTTATGTGTGTGTGCGTGTGTGTGTGTGCGCGCGCGCGCATGCACACTCTCTCTCTAGAGATGCTATTAAGTAGCTCAATTATTTTTTGAATTTTGCATAAACATACTCAATTTAGCATAAATNTGTGCGTGCATGTGTGTGCGCGCGCGCATGCACACTCTCTCTCTAGAGATGCTATTAAGTAGCTCAATTATTTTTTGANCGTGTGTGTGTGTGCGCGCGCGCGCATGCACACTCTCTCTCTAGAGATGCTATTAAGTAGCTCAATTATTTTTTGAATTTTGCATAAACATACTCAATTTAGCATAAATGTCCACAAAGTTTCTTATTCACTAAAGAGTTAACTTGATATGGAAAATTTATCTACACAAAGCCTTTGCTTTGAGTGGCTGGTTTTGGCACATCCTCAAGGTCTCTGAAGGTATAGAAGGTTCTTGCCCACTCATAAGCAAGCTTCTGGCAACAGGAAATTCTGCAACAATTACAACTGGAGATGTTGGCTCTTCTACAGGTCTGGGAGGCCACTGTCTGGCTCAGAGGGTGACATGAAGCACATGCTGGGGAAATACTTGTTGAATAAAAGAATGATTGACCCATCTGCTGATTTGAAGGCCTTATCTACTCTACTGCTCCATTAATTGTCTCTACCCCTCAAAAATTTGTAATCAATGGGGAAAAGTTTGGGGACTCCCTTCCCTAATAAATGTCAAAAGCGTGTTGTAATTGTAATTTGGCCAAAATCACTACTTCTAAGTGGAAGAGAGCAACTAGAGGAGTGTGGCTGGCAAAGTGACTGAAGCTGATAAGGGCACACCAAGAGGAGAGACAGAGGTCAGAACTGTCCTGAACTAGACCTGCAGCCCCCAGCCAATGGATATTTAAGGTGGATGCTCTATTCAGTTTAGAACAATTCAACAGATACTTATTATGTGTCTGACACTGGACATAGTGTTGGGTGCTGGGACTACAAGGGGTTTGAAATTCAAGAAACAAGATATACTTATATTTAAACAGTATTTTAGTTACATTTTGAAGTAATATGCTCAGTGAGTTTTTCAACCTCCAGAAACCTTTCTAGGTTAAGTACCTCAAAATTTAAAGTAATAGGTAATCTGGAAAAACAAGTATAGTCCCCGTTTCCAGATTTTTTGGACATTCTGTACTATAGAACAAATGGACTTACTGCTTTAAACATATTGAGCATATTATTTCAAAATGTAAATAATATTCTACTTAAAGCAAGTTAATCCTATTTTCTCTAACTTTTCTGATATGCTAAACAAAGTTGACAGAAACAGATTCCCAAGGAACTTCAGTCTAACAGAAGAGAAGGACATGGGTGTATAAAGCATTACCCAGACTGAGAACCATGAAAGAGAGTGTGTAAGGAACAAAGTGGACTTCTACATAAGCAAGGGATTATTACTTTGGGGGAATATAGCAGAGGCTCAGGAAAGAATTCACAGGTGTGGTGTTGTCTGAGCAGGTTTGGGGCAATAAATAGAGATTTACCAAGAGGACAAATGGAGAAGGAATTTCAGGGAGAGGATGGGTGTAATGCAGGATCATGAAGGCAGGAGACAGCATTGTATGTTCAGAGGATTACAGCTAGTTTAATATTGCCTGAGGTTTCAATGAGAGACAGAGCTGTGGGCCAAGAGAAGTAGTCAGGGGCTAATCATGAAATACTTTGCTTGCCGCATTAATGAGTAAAATTTTATTCCACAGAGTTGATGGGAATCAGTAAATGCTTTTCTATTCAATTTATTGGGGTGGCATTGGTTAACAAAATTCTACAGGTTAACAAAATTTTGGTTAACAAAATTTTATGATACATCATCTGCATATTGCATTGTGTGTTCACCACCCCAAGTCAAGTCTCCTTCCATCACCGTTTATCCCCCCTGTACCCTCTTCTACCTCCCCCCACCCCCCAGCAAATGCTTTTCAGTAAGGAAATAGTTTCGTCAGAGTTGCTGAAGCAAGGCAGCAGCCCCCATGGTTCTTGCACAGCCTCTCAACATCCTTATGACTAAAGAGTAGATTAAGAAGGAAAAGACCAAAAGAGGAGTAGAAGTTGGGATGTTATAAACTGGCGAAATCTATTTGTTGAATGACAATGTACGAGTATCCACGCTCAGTGCTTGAAGCTGAGGATGGAGGCGCAGTGGCCTAGCTCGTTTTTGCACTATAACTCTCCCACTCTCCAGAACAAGAGTAGAAATTGTTCCAGAATAAATCATTATACTCCTTCCATTTATTTCCTTCTCCCTTTTCCTTCTCAAATAGGGGTAGGCATGGTACAAGGAAGAGGGAGAGGGGAGGGACGGTAGCCTCGGATGGGGCATCCACTTTGCTTTTTCCCCTCACATCAAGCCTTCGCTCTAGCAATGGGAGTTATTGGTAGCACAGAGAATGAAACTCCAGGGATCATCGGCAGGTCTTATTTTAGGAACTTGTTCTAGCCTTCTGCCATCAAATCTCTCCAGGTTTTCCTTTCCTTTTTATTTTTAATATTATGTGTGTGTGTGTGTGTGTGTATAGTGTGTGTGTGTATGTATGTGCATGTTTGATGCAGTTAACATTAGCAGAAATGGAATAACCGAGTTTCACTTGTTTTCTCCCTCCCTCTGGNATAGTGTGTGTGTGTGTGTATGTGCATGTTTGATGCAGTTAACATTAGCAGAAATGGAATAACCGAGTTTCACTTGTTTTCTCCCTCCCTCTGGGAGAGAAGGCACAACAGTCAAAGAGCCAGAAGGCAAGCAATTAGGAGGGGAAGCTAAGGATAATCAAGATTTGAC